GCTCATGCTCATGAATTTCTTACAACCTCTATAAATATTTCTTACGAGAAGAGTAATGATAGATCTTACAAAAGCCAGTAGTGAACAAGCAACTTGTTCAATGAATTTTGTACGAAAAAATTGTTTAATATACACTCAAGGCTATTTTTGACAAGGATCTTTTTACACGGTTTATACGACGATTTTAAAAATAGCGCGGTTATGTTAAACATTCAATGTATGCCCAAAAATCATAGGTTGCTCAGTTTTTTAAGGATTTAGAAGCGAAACTTTCACTGCTTACTTATTTCATTGATGGTCTTCAAAGAACAATCCTACATACGCAGACTGATCTCCGCACAAACTAATGTGACCGCTCCAAATCAGCTGGAACAGATTGCACCATGCGAGATGAAAAGGCCGTATTCCAGCACAAACCTGGTTCATTTGTCCCTACAATTGTTTTCAAAGTTGCATACTACTTCTTCTTCTTCTTCGTATTTCAATATTATTGCTTATCGCATATTAGCTTATTGCGTGCTCTCCACTTAGTGTTCTAGATGTTCATCCCCATTTATTAAATTTAAGCTTTCGATGCCTATACCATTTTTGCATTAGTCATTGTGTGGCAAGTACAATCACACTCTGTTGTGCCCAGCAGAGTGTAAAATTATTGACTGCTTATGCTGAGTGTAAAAGCACTGCACTATTCAATTCATTGCTCTGTCCAGACCGTTTGAACCAAACGGTAAGGGACGAGGCAATGAAAGAGCCAATAAAAACATTCAGTCACTCACGAACAGGCGAATCAAACCGCTTGCCTTCGCTCACACAGCTACATGCATTACATTGAGGCATTTTTCCATAGAAAATATACGCTCAGTCATTCAAAACAAGGATTGGGCACCATCACGGATGAACAAACGTGCTGACTGAGCTACTGACTGAGTGCTCGGCTGCCAGTGACTCGTGATTTCCCAATCATTCAGACTCTCACGAGGCAGTGAATGATTAGGCGGATGGCAGTTCATATTCATATGAAAATGACTCATTGAACCTGACTGTTTTGCGTATCAGGGAAGTCGATAAATTTTCCAACCCGAAAAATTCCGATCTAGAAATCGAACACAGCCACCTCCACCATGGTCTTGCTTTGTAGCTGCACCTTTACCGACTAAGCTAAGGGCAGCCCCTTGATTTGTCGTGAAACATCAGCACAACTATGCAACTTAGTGTTCACACTACCGATGCGTTGTGAGAAAATTCCGATATGATATGAACTGGGCATCTGGAAGGTCTTTACCTCCAGAAGAACTTTATATGACGGAAATTTTTGAGGTTATCAAGTACTGACAACATTTTCAAGCACACTTCTTAGTTTTGTATGACGCACACTTCTTATTTTTGTAATCAGATCTTTTTTACACGGCGGATATGTACCGTGTAAAAAACCGCATTCTTTCAAAAAACCTTGTCAAAAAGCCCAGTTATTAAGAAATGAGTTATTTTAAAAAAAAGTGTAAAAAACACGGCATTTTAATATTTGTCACACAAAAATAAAAAGTGAGAATGTATTTACATCATAAAAATAGCTAAGATTAATTTTACATTTTGATATTTGAATAGTCATACGATATATACAGGTGCAAATATAGTAGCACTTTTCAAGGGTCGTTCGACCTCGACCAACTTACTTGAATTTATAGACTATTCATTGAATGCAATGGATAATGGAAACCACGTAGAAGCTCTCTATACAGACTTTAGCAAGGCATTTGACCGCATTGACATACCAATGTTACTCTTTAAACTGCAAAAAATTGGAATTAAGTCAGGGCTCCTGAAATGGCTTGAATCATATTTAACTAACCGCCAACAAATAATTAAATTCAACGGAAAGAAATCGAGCCCAATTCAAGTCACTTCAGGCGTCCCCCAAGGCTCTCATTTGGGACCTCTCCTTTTTATTCTATACGTAAACGACATATCTTACATTCTCAAAAAACTTAAATTACTTATTTATGCCGACGACATGAAGCTCTTTTTGGAAATAAGAAATGAAGAAGACATCAATATATTCCGGAATGAAATACACATATTCTACATATGGTGCAAAAAAAGTCTACTAGAATTGAATGTAAAAAAATGTAACTTAATATCATTTAGTAGAAAAAGAACAACTTCAAATATTTCAATTGCATTAGGAAATCAAACTGTAGACAAATGTGAAAGAGTTAGGGATTTAGGAATTATCTTAGACTCTAAGCTAACTTTCATAGACCATTACAATACAATTATTCACAGGGCAAATAACATGCTAGGCTTTATCAAGCGCTTTTGCTATAACTTTCAGGACCCTTACACAATTAAAACACTATATATTGCCTATGTGAGGTCAATACTGGAATATTGCAGTATTGTATGGTCTCCATTTTCAATCACGCACGAAGAAAGATTAGAATCAGTACAAAAACAATTTCTATTATACGCTCTTCGTAAATTAGGTTGGACTTCATTTCCTCTTCCATCATATGAAGCACGCTGCATGCTTATAAACATACAAACATTAAAAGAGCGTCGTGAATATGCAATGGTTTCATTTGTAAATGATATCGTTTCGCAGCGAATTGACTCAACAGAACTTTTATCAAAATTAAATTTCCATGCACCCACTCGGCAACTCCGAAATCGAAATTTATTTGCCATAAAACATCATCGCACAAATTATGCAAAATATGGGCCATTAAACCGCATGATGGCCTCTTACAATAAACACTGCGAAACCATTGACTTTACAATGTCTCGGCATAAACTAAAGCAATATTTTTATTCCATAAGAAATAACAACTCATAAAAGAAAAGACAAGAAAGCTGACACTACTTTTTTATATAAATATATATTTAAGAAAACAAAACTGTATTAATTGTACTAGTCTACGTTGGTTGACGAAATAAATAAAACAAAATAAAACAAATAAATAAAACAAAACTCACCCTATGCATCCTAGAGATTTAATGTATTAAGCAAAGTTGTTGAGGTAAATAAGCACTAGTTATTGACATTATTAGTTTAATTCCAGGTACTGCCATTCAAATAGCGCTAGAACTGTCTTTTAACAGAAGCATCCTAGCAAAATAAAATCATCGGCAAAGTGGTTTGTTTAAATTTGTTTTGACAACTCTTCCGAAAGTGTCAAAATTTCACATCCTACTGAAAACGAGATATTAAAAAAAAAAATTATCCAGGATATCAATTCTACGATCGCGTCACTTATCAAGGTGAATCCTGATCCAACGAATCCAATCTACTAAACAAAATCTCATTTCCTGAGACTTTTGTGGAAATGCAGAAGTTAACATGGTCCCAAAACAATAAAGGCCACCTTAATATTCCGATTCCACCTGATTGCAAGGACGTGTCCGGCGCCGTTATTTATCTTTAAACATGGAGTGGCGGAAACTTGTACATTGAGAATGTAGGGTCATCCCTAGCTCCATTCAGTTGATTCATTGTGCAATTTCACTGATTCTGATCAATCATGGAGAAGCAACTATTGAACTGTGCAGTCAGTCTAAAAGGAGGAGAAGACGCTAACCTGGAAAAGTATCATGGATAACAGGGAAATAATTCATGTGTTTCTGCAAATGTCTAGTATAAGAATTTAATAAGTTTGTTTTTTTAATCTCTTTATTAGTTTTTGTTTGCCTTGTCTTCATCTCGATGAGTCTCATCGTCGCCCACTGATCAACATAGCCGGTCCAACTCCACACGAATCTAGAATCACACTACCGTTCATACTGGCGACATCGCTCTAATGAGACAACGAAACCCTGCCCCAAAGCTCCTCCCCTTTTCCTATCCTTCGAGAATGTACCCCTCTAACCTCGGGTAAGCCGCGAGTATTCGGCCCAACTCCTACTTGATATTGAATTAAGTGAATTTTGTTACAAACAAAGAACAATGCATTATCGGCTCCGTAGAGCTAACGCGATTGAGCCTTACCAATAAACGAACTAGATAAAAAATAATTAGAGACATGCCGGAAATTTAAATTCCTACATACAGTGGCCGCCCTGGTCTAATCATTGTTTTTTGCATACCATAATTATAATGTTTATGGCAAAAGCTCATGAAAGTTCAATTCTTGTTTACGTTATTATCACAATCTAAATCGCAATTATAACTTAATCATCAAAATTGATTTAATTTAATTATCAAAACAGTCTAAATTTAAGTTTGTATCCAAAGTAGTCGGTCTTTCGATATTTATGTCAACGTTTTGATGTCTATGAGTTGAAATTTTTTACAATCAATCATGGATATACCTCTCAAAATATCCCTATACTAAATATAAAGGTTGAAAACGAAAAAAAAATTTGGACACATCCAAAACGCTGCCATTAAGGCATTTTTGAGTATTTTTTTTTTTTCGAAATTTCGCTGAATCTAGCTTAGAGATACTCGCGGTTTTGTCAATTTTTGCCCAGCTTGGTACATACCAAATGCAGTGCTAAACGTAATCAGATGAATCCTCCGAACTGTCTGGAGGCTCGGCTAATCGAAATTTGTTGGGCTCTGGCCATGGTATTTCTACGCATACACTTTAAAGCAGCGAATTCAATATGAAATAAAAAAAAAATAGCTGTACATAAGTTACCAAAGCAATCACCAAGGAATCAATACTGAAGCTCGTGAGCCGGTAAGATCAAAATTTTGCTCCTTGATGAAACATTTTCATCCAATTCCAAGACAAACATATTCCTTCATCAAAAGTTGTATTTACATTAGTTGATACTGATGTAAAAACAAATGTTGTTCAAGCAACTGATACGCAGAGCAGCTGTCAAAATCGGGTTATAATTGTATTCTTCGCAGCTAATCAAAGGCTTAACGCTACTTTTACCGCAATGTAAATTTTAATAATTTTAAGTTGAAATCAAAATTCTGCTATCACACCCACATTCTCATCCAAATAATTTAAGTGAATCTATTTAAGTACCATAAAAGTGACGCAACCTACCTGTACTCGTGATTCGGGCAGGTTGATTTTCATTGCAACTTCCTCGCGCATGAAAATGTCTGGATAGCGCGTTTTACCAAACAGAGACTCCAGGACATCCAACTGGGCACGGGTGAAGGTAGTCCGTTCTCGTCGCTGCTTCCGTGGGTTTACTCCTAGGGGGAAAACGAGAGAAAAATAGAAGAAAATTTCAGTAATTTTACTCATTTCGCCAAAGATACATGAATTTCACATTAGTGCCCAAACCTACTACGATACAAATAGGTTTAGGACGATATGTGTGAGTGTTCTTTAAATTAAATAATCAATGGAGCAAACTACCTTTCAAACTGAAACGAAACATTTTATTACAATGCATTGTTTTTATTCTAGAATATGTGTAAAATCACATTAAACAATTTAACACATTAAGTATCATCTTCGAAATTTGTATATTTGATACTCCTCTGGGTCGTCGAACCTTTTCCGATATTCACTCATTCGAAGCAAGTATTGCTCGTAATGACAAAGCGAAACGTAAAAAAACGTGCCTTTATCGATCGCTTCAAAGCCAAATGAATGCCAGACGTGTGGAAGCCCCCGTGCCTTCAACTGATCCAAATACGGCAACCACACCGACTAAATCGGAAAACTATCAAGTTTCAATTTTAAGGTTCACTTCCCCCGGTGAACGCGGCTCGTCCTCGACACGGCCGGTCGTCCAGCGGAGAATTTGCTTACACTTGATTTCCGTCGGTATGTGTTTCCCAGCCCCTCGTCCACATGCATTTCCACTATGGTTTGTTTTGCTCTTTTTTGTGTTGTTCTGTTTAAATATCAATTACCTACTCGAAAGCTAGAGAAAAAAAAACCTTACAAATAACCCTAGGCCACGTGACTCGTCACATCACAGCCGCATCTTACCGCCGCCGGTCGCTTGGTCAACGTTCCATCGCAACAAGAGGGGCGTCTTTGCAGCACTTTTAGTATTTATCCACAAACAACTCAGAATAGAAAAGCACTAAAATGGTTCAACTTCAACTGTGGGTGCGAAAAACAAATATTTACACTTAATTTGCCACCCTCGCTGCAATGAATGCTGGAAAAATCGGCATCGTCTGCCTTCCTTCATCTCAATTAGAGTGGAAAAATTAATTGCTATGAAAACATGACACCAAACGCCCGCCGCTAACAGTTGCCACTGAGCGGGAAAATTGTGCCGCCGGGCGTTTGGAAGATTATCCTTTGACTGTTGCTGTTGAAGCAGAACCACCGGTCGTGGTGATGCCACGCACCGTCGTCGTTTGCAATTTACTGCTGAAGTTATGTAAATACACTATTTTTTTCAGCGAATGGAAAGTTGCCACAGGCGGGATACTTTCCTGTCACTTTCTTTGACTAGAGCCATTGCTGTTCTACAGCAGATCCAAGGCTACACGTGCATTGTGAGGTAGCCTTCATGCAGAATAAGCCTCGTATAAATACATTTGAAGTATCAAACGAATTACGTGCAATGTATTCACACTTCCAGAACCAAAGAGAGTGGGGAATCAGGGACATTTCATGTTTTTTTTTTCTAAACCTCGCGAACCTCTGACATGATCCTAAAATCAGGTTTTTTTCTTAAATAAGCCAGGAATAACAGTTTTAATAATTTGGGGAAACTTGATTTTTATGATATTTATTTGAATATTAATTTTTACACACATCCCAATATCGAATGTGTGAAAATTCTGGGCGATCAGGTATCCCCTAACACAGCTTAATTTTTTCACACTCATACATCAGGTTTAAGTGTGTGTAATCGTTGGAGGATCAAGTGTCCCCTAACTGAGTGTCCAACTTCAAATCTAACTGAACAAAAAAAAATGAACAAAAAATCAAGAGATATTTAATTGCGATTGATTCTACTTATTCACAGCTTTGAGCTGTGAAAATTGTATACATTTTATTTGGAAATCCAAAAGGGAATTTACATGCACGCTAAAGAAAAGTCTAAGGGAGTGAAAACATACGAACTGCTCTCAAAAATAGAGACTTTCCACAATTTGACGCAAATATCACCATCAGTATAATCAAAATCTTCACTCATACGATTATTTTTTTTTTGTTCTCGAGGGCTCCCAATATCGCGCGTGATATTGAAATAAAATATATTGATTTTACAAGCTCCTTAGAAACTACGAGACTATTCACCACTTAACTTGAAAAAGTGTAGCTACGATTTGACTCAACACAAAAATGATTCCGTTGCACATCGTTTTGTTTTAAAGAGAAAGCATAGTTTGCTATCTCTCTTTACTTTTCACAGATGACAGACACGAAGTTACTGCTTCCAGCAGTGGTGGAAGTTTCCGTTCGTGTTCGGGTGTACACCAGACATCTTGAAGCTCAAACTCACCGCAGTTTGGTGGGAATTGCAGATGGTGAATTCTGTTAACTCGATGTTCGTAATATCATCCGCTGGTGTTTGCTTGTTGATTTTTTCATACGATAATCAAATAAGATTATGCTCATTGGTGGGATTTGATCTCTTGATATTTTCCCAACACTGCATTCTTATAATCATTACCTTCCGTCTATACGAAAGTGTTAATAAGTGCTCGTTTTGAAAGTCATGAAACATTTAATTTAAATATTAAAGTGAACATGCTGCTTAAAGGAAGTGGAGACATTTGCATCTTGAGGGACAATTGCTTAATAGTTTCAGGAACATATCATATTTATGTACATGAGGTGTCCCAAAAAGTAACGTCATACCACCATTCTTGACGTTTAGCAGCTATTCAGCGATGTGTGATGTTATTTACATTCCGCTCGGTGTGCTCAAAGGGAATTTTTTGCGAAATAATCAAAATGTGGGTCATTTTCCCCGAAAGAGTGCAAAAAATCTTGCACAAATGGTGCTCTAATCCCAAAAATCTTGCAAAAATGGTGCTATATTCCCTGGCGGAAGTGGAGGAAGTATGTATCGAAGCAACTCAAACCACCATCACAGTCTAATGAGGAGATTACCTTTAGTTTTACGTTTTTTTTTGCCACTAAAACCACGCTCAACAAAGTTGAACCTCGGCGCTCATCTTCATCGACGACGATGTCGCTCTTACCGATGAGAAAATCTCCACCATCTCCAAAGCCACCAACGTCGACATCGAGACATACTGGTCCGGTCTGTTCACCAAAGCCTTCGAAGGCTACAATATCAAGGACCTGATCACCAACATCGGATCCAGCGTTGGTTCGGCCCCTGTCAAAAAGAAATAATAGAAGCAGGAGGAAGAATCCTAGGAGGCCAATGACGACATGGGATTTGGTCTGTTCGGTTAAATCCTTCCCTTTCATCGGAATGCAACAAGGAAAGCAAACATATTATTCTGTGTTTGGTTCCCGTGGCATTTTCATTCGTACAGTTTGAATGCACAAGTGTACAAGTAATGAAAATAAATTTCAGCACGCACCGAAATCTGATGATGATGGCCATGATAGACTACCATCTATTGTAGCAAGGCACTTGCACATGGCAATGGACTGTTCCTACTGCATGACTTGATCAAGATTTGATGTCTTATCATACTCATATGAATCATCATATGAAGGGCTAGCGGCGCCGGTGGTGTAGTGGTAGGCGTAATTACCTCTCACCCCAGCAGGCCTGGATTTAATCCTAGTGTGCACAGCCGGGATGTTTTGAGGCATAACATCTCTGATCACGCCTTCCTGGGGTCGGTAACATTGGTGCTCACCACGGAAAACAAAATCGACGGAAAAAAAAATCAAGGAAAAAAATTATAAGAAGGTCCAAAAACGGTGGTTCAGTACACATCAAAATTTGGCCAAAAACAGGAACCTGTAAACTGAGAGCTGGATTGGAAGAACTCAAAATTCTTCTAATAGAATAGAGCCTTTGTTCTAGATTTGTTTAAAAACTGGGAACCCATACGAGCAACACCGATTGTGCCAATGCAAGAGACGGTCTAAAGACGTTCAAGGAACTGAATAAATCAAAAGAGAGTCAAAACAGGCAGACGGATCGGAAGTTATATGATAATTTTGGGTAAAAAAAACACCAAAAATCATGAATGTCCAAAAAATTAATCCTTCTAGCTGTCAGGTGGCCCGGCATATAAGAACCTTTTTAGCCTTAGCCAATGATTATGTAGAAAACACTTTTTTTTCCTCTGGTTTGTTTTTTCCGTCGATCTTGTTTTCCGTGCTGAGCACCAATGCTACCGACGTGCCAGGAAGGCAGCTCCCACACCTGGACCCTACCTATCGACCCATCAACTCATGAACCGGGGACCAACGGCTTTACTTCCCATCCGAAGGAAGACGTGATCAGAGATGTTATGCCTCAGAACATCCCGGCGGCGCCGACTGGTATTGAACCCAGGCCTGCTGGGGTGAGAGGTAATCACGCTTACCACTACACCATCGGCGCCGTTATGTAGAAAACACTTCATATGAGAAAATTAAATCGAGGAAAAATGAATACTACACATATATGATGTTTCGGTGAAATCTGCTTTCAAGGTAGTTCTGAGGAACTCCAGATTCCATGTGAACCCTAAGCAGAATACCATGGTAATTCTGAGTAGAATTCCATGGAAATTATGTATAGGATTCAAAGGAAACTTTAGCGAGAATTTATAGGAAATACCGTGGTTAATTCCTAATGAAATTTGAGAAAATTTGAAAGAGAATTTTGAGGATTATTTCACGAAAATTCAGAAGAGAACTACAAGGCAATTAAAGCGAAAAAATATGGAAATTCTAAGGTTAAATTCAAGAAGATTCTTGGAGAAAAATAATCCAGGGCAAAATACCATGGGAATTTTCGAAGAATACTTAGATACTATGCTAAACTAAGGATTGCTATTAAATCTGAGAAATAATTCCAGTTCAGACTTAAATGAGAATAAAATTCAAAGGAGAAATTAAAAAAAGGAAAAATTTAAAGTGAATTCAACGAAAATTCTTCAAATAATTCCAATGGATTTTTTTGGGAGTATTCCAAATGAATTCTAAGGAATAATGAGGTAAATAAGGAAAATAGAGGTCATTGCATTCCGAATTCGGAGAAAACCTCCAATACAAAAATGAGTACAATTTTAAAGGGATTTCGAGGAGCATCTCAATGATATTCCGGTGATAATAAAAAAAGAGTTCAAAGTAAATT